AATGATGGCACCAGCCCCAGGAACAAAAGAACAGAGTCAAGATGTCTGATGGTAACCAATTAACCACGAGATGCCCCTCTCCGGAGATAACATGACCAGACCCCAGAGAGGAGTTGTAAAACTCCTGACAGGGCAAACAGATAAGCTAGAATAAGATAAAGTCCAGGCCTGGAAAAAACTGGACCAATCAAGGATGGACTCGTACTGACCCCCTCCTCTCTAAGAAATTTTATGGGTTTTGCCTATAAAAACTAACTTCCCCAAGAAAGAGTAACTCTTCTCTGCCTCACTTGAGATGGCTTGAGTTGAGTTCCCTATCATGACTTGTAACAGATAAACCTTGCTTTTGCATTCTGGTACGCTCGTCCTTGGTGGTCTCTCTGGGGGTTACGATCTGGGCACAACATATGCAAGGTGACCACATTGGGAAGAAGAACAATGAGATCCAGCAAATCTCCCAAGCCCATCTCTAAAGTAAAATCTAGTTTAAACAGAGGGCCAAGGATGTGCACATCTAAGCAACTGTTCAAGGTGTGGTATCACTTACTACTGATCCACTCTTGCCTGGGCTTCATTCTGATGAGTTGTTAGAATTCTTTAAAAGTTCTTCCTGGAGGCCAAATTCCCCTCAGGCTCTGGCCCTTTCCTTCCCCCAGCATGAGATTCCTGGGTAAATTCCATTTCTTTGGGGTCCATCATTTCAGTATTCTGATAGTCAGGTTTAGAGACACAAATTTCTCTTTAGAAGAGCTTCCTTTCTGTCAGGCCTTTTACAATTCTTCACTTTCTGTTTTAGCACTTTGATATATACATATATTGAGTGAAATACATAAAGGTGGAATATAAAACTCATTTTATTTGAACTTCAAACTGCCGAGCTGGCCTCAGGAAAGACCAAGGAGCCAAGTTTGCATTTCTGACTACCTAGCAGTGTTATGACAGCAAAAACAACCAGCGATTCACTCACAGGGATGACAAAGGGCTTCCGGAGTGTCTGAAATCAAGTGATTCTTCAAGCCCAGGCCAGGATGATGACACTATGGTGATATTTTAATTGTACTGAAATGTGATTTTATAAATAAAGTTGCCTGAGGGTCAGAGCTACTAGCAAGCCATAGCAGAAACTGGGCGGTGGTGGTGCACACCTTTAATCCCAGCTCTTGGGAGCCAGAGCCAGGCGGATCTCTGTGTGTTCAAGGATACAGCCAGCATGGAGACACACACCTTTAATCTCAATACCAACCATTGAAGACCTGGAGGTCTGTACAGACAGGCAGTGATGAGGAGGTCATGTGGTTGGGTTTACAACCAAAGAGAAGGCAGAATAGAAAGTCTATAAAAAAGACAGACACACAGGAAGTAGGTCTCTTGCTGAAGAGGACAACAGCAGCAGTGAAGGGTAAGGTTTTTAGCTCTGACCTCTTGGGCTTTCATCTCTGGATTGGTTCTGTGTTTCTTATTTAACAAGACCGTTCATCTACAGAGTAAATGTGAATTCTCCTGGCTACTGCCTCTAGTAAGGAGGGTGGCAAGGGGGAGAGAACTTGATGCTGTGTGGGCTCAGCCGAGATGCAGAGAAAGACAGGTAATGATGAGATATGAGCAGGACAGTAAGGTGCCAGGCAGGACTACTATGCCAAGAGGATCAGAGGAACCAAGCCCACAACTGGGAAATGCATGTGACCACGGGCTTCATTTAGAATGCTGCCACACTGGGAAAATAAAGATTGAAACCTTAACTGGCTTCGTTCTCTCCAGCAGCCAGAGCAATCTTTTACCCAGGTTGATTCAATCCCAAGAACACTACCTGCAGGGCACCCTTGAATACCCACAGGCTTAGTGAGTAGGTGTATCTAATGTGTTCAGTGCATGTTTAAGGTCAAGGGAAAAGTTTGAAGGTGGAGAATAAGGGGGTTTTAAATGATATCTCTGTTAGCCTTAATATACATTCAATATCTCTTGTACTAATTATGCTTCCCAATCAGAAGTCTGAACCAGCAATTCTGGCAAGAAGAGTGAGTCATGGAAAATCCTGGTCTGTAGCTCACTGCAGTGCACACTCCACAGGGACACAAATTCTAAACATGAGTTTTCTAGACTGGGTTGATAAAGGTGGGATGACCCCACACTAGATGTGGGCAGCACCATTCTATGGGCTGGAGTCCTGGACTGAACAGAAAGGAGTCAGCATCCATCTCTCCTTGCTTCCTGCCAGTGAGTGGAACGTGCCCTCACCTCCTTACCGCTCTGGCTTCCCTGTCATGGTAGACCGAATTTCAAACAGTGAGCCACAATGAGCTTTGAGTTTCCTTTTGTCAGGTACTGTATTGCAGCAGCAACAACAAATAGAACTAAAACAATGTTTCAAAAATCAAATTCCTAAAAATCTCAATGCATTTCAGAACTTCAGAACTAAAACTCCAAACTCCAAAGAAGGGAAGATGGGGACACCTGCTAAGGCATTTACTGGGAGTGTTAGCAGCATCACTAATGAGCTCAGTTCTATGAATTTGATATCAGGATTTAAAAAGCTATAATAAATACACATACATTATATATATATAATATATGTTCTGTACATATGTATATAATGCATATGTATATATGTGTATAAGTGTATATAAATGTGTGTGTACGTGAATGTGTTATGTGTATATATATATATATATATATATATGTACGTATCAGTGCAGAAAATGACATCATAAGGGTTCAGAAAATTCAGTATCTGCTAGGTAGAGTCAATCCTCTTCTGTATTTGGACAACTCACAAGCATCAGTGGGGAGATATATAAAACAGCCCAATCTTGTCACTGTAGGTTTTCTGTTTAAGATTTAACATCTGAGAAGCCCTGATCCAGGATTTATTTCTTCTATAAGAAAATGTTGTATTCGCACAGTGAAGGACTGGGAAGCTGCTTGAGGGACCGAGTCACCCGAGCTGTGTGCATTCCTTCAAGGCAAGTCATGTGACATTGCTTTCCCCTCCCCAGGGACATCAGGGATCTTCAACATCACCTGGATTACATCTCCTTTAAGCAGGAAATGTACCAGCAAAAGAAGCCAACAAGAGTAAAAGTGTTATGTGAACAGAAAGTCCCTAGGGCACCAACGGAGCTCTCTGTGATTCTCAAGTTCCCTGGGAACCTTCCAGAAATTACCCCAAAGCCTAAGAGACCACTTACTACCTATACAGAAACAAGAGTGAAGATTGAGTTCTCACAGGAAATTCACATATGAACATGGGTTAGCTTTGACTCTGTGTGAAATAAAACACTCTATACAGCTGCACGTGGACAGACACACAATGCACATCATTATGAAGGGTAAAAATCAGAGAAATATGTAAAGCAAGGCTTGTACCCAGCACTAAAAATGGAAGATGTCAAAACTCTGCCAGAGAGAAAATAAAAATGTCTGAGATCATCCAATACATCCTCCATCTGCATAGGGAAATGAGTCTGTGAAGCCAGCCTCCTCATCCTCTCCTTTGATGAACAGGACATTGTACACCTAAGATATCTCAAGTTATCCCTTAAGAGCCTGCTCCTGTTCCTAGAGTCAGGATCCCCATGAAATTGGAAAGATCATTTAATTCATTACTCTAAACAAACATAAATTTCAGAAACAAAAACTCAGTTTACTTTAAGATCCACAAGGAAGGTGTTGCCTCAGTTACTTTACTGTCCTTACATTTGCTGATTTAAAACAGTAGCAGTATTTCTCTATGTCATGTCAAAAGGGAAATCCATGGTGGATTTGACATGGCTTTGGTTCTCAAGGTACCTATGAGTAGAAGGAGAGATGAGGCATATTCCAAAGTAACGATAACTGTAGGTAGATATGGGCCAGAGAATTCAGAAGGTGGTTTCTCTTCTCTTAGGTGTGGATGGGTGCACTGACAAAGAGGCATTTTGGAGACTTGGGAAATGTACACAGAAAGACAGAATACTCCACACTAGGGACTCTAAATGTTTTCAAAAGCAAAGCATTAGGCAGTATGGGCTTTATGAGGAGAAAACACAGAGGTTCGGTATTGCAAAAGAAAGACAAATCAAGTATGGGTACAAAGTACAGTTATGAAGGGCATAGTCCAGAATGTGAAGATTCTCATTCTCTGAGGCTAGGATAACATGCTTTTCTTCTTTACATTCAATTACCTAGTATGCAAAACTTAAACACCTTCACAATCATGGCAAAGACACTGGGGATAGAATCTTGACAGACATGTGCTCTGTTTACTCTCTGCCAGGAGGGAGAGAGAAGAAGCTAACGATCACTGCAGCAGTGTGAGAAATGCCTTGACACTCGGTATAGGGCCGCTTATGAGTAACAACAGATGTCCGTGCACTCTGAAGATCAGTGGCAGTTAAACAGAAAAGGGATGTAAGTTATACAGATAATATGAAAAACAGCACTTGAGGGTGTGAGAAGCAGATTGTGTTCAGAAGCAGCATGGTGGGAATAAATCTTGAGAAAAGCCCAACGTCAGAAAAGAGTTCACCACAGCAAGGGACCCTAACTACATTTTAACCCAAGGCCACAGGAAACGGTGAAATTATGATGACATTCAAACTGCACTTCGAGAAAATAAATTCTGCAGCCTGGAGAAAAGACTGGAAATCAGAAAGACAGAAAGGAAGTAATTGTACAATGCTTTACCCAAGGATGTAGGTGAAATAGTATAGTGGGCTGAACCATAATACTAAGGGAAAGCATGAGTCCCAAAAAGATAGAACTCACTCAACTGTACAAATAAAAATTCAGGCACTCCAAGTTTTAACCTGGTTCAGTCAAACTCGAAGCTAGAAAAAAAAAGGTGAGATACAGTTGGACATGTCACACAGGGAAATATTTAAAGGTGGAAGATGAGTAGAAGCGGTCTCAGGAGAAGAGGGAGCCTGAAGCAGAGAGACACATTGTGCAATGCTGAGAACTCTGGGCTCCAGGGACAGTGGTGTCACAATGAGCAAGGGCTTCTGGTTGCACGGCGATGGTTTCTTAATAAAGCAGGCCAGGGGAGGGGGCAGCAGAGGACTATTACCCCTTGGAACTGCGTTGGAGAAATTTAACTAGGAGAGGAGTCGAGTCTGGGGACTAGAGGCACACCAGATGAATTACTTAGGTACGTTTGCTTGGTTGTTGTAGAGTAGACTTGAAAAGGGTTGCTGTTCACAAAAATGAATTCTGAAGAGAAACGATTTCATACTTTAAATCGTTAAATAGTGTGAGACTCAGGTGCTTAAATTTATAGCACAATTCACTTTCTTTGTGAAGTTTTCATTTGCCATCTCTACATGGTGAAGCCCTCCACTTATGAGTTCGTTATTAAACCACGTCTCAGATTTTACATTCAGGAGAAAAATGGAAACCCATTAGCCCTTCCTTGTAATCATCTCCCCAACTCTTCCTTTTGTCCTTCTCTACACACTCTAGAATCTTCCTTGGGAAATATCCAAAAGTAGAGCCAGAGATGTACTCCAGGGTCAGCCTGGACTGAGTATCCTAACGTAGTTATACAACCCTTTCTTCACTACTAGCTCCCAGAGGAACCCTTTTCTTTCCAGGCTAGAGGAGCCATTTCCTCTAAGTCACCCCCACCTGCTGTGTCCAACCTCTTCCCATTGTAACAAGATGTCTGTCCCCACCTACAAAGTTCAGACTGGAGAACTGGACAACTGAGTTACAAAAACAAAAGTGCAATGAGAGCAACAACGTTTTAAATGTGTGGCTTGGCACTGGGTTACACAGTTGGACACATGTTCTAGGTTAAAAAGAGCTACACTGATTAAAGAGAGATAGAATGCCAGCTCCTGGGTGTGAAACCCTCCCTACTCTATAGGGGCTATCAATGTACCAACAGGCCTGCAGGGTCTGCACACCACCACCAGCAAGTCTGGGCATGTGTGTCCAGGTGCTATGTTCTCTATTTAAGCTACATTATAGCAGTGCTTTGTTCCTTAATAGTTACTAGTTAACTATTATGGTTAATAGTACTCCTCACAAACATTTATGAAGTTATCCTTACAGTACACACATAGCTGCTGGTTCTTCCTGAAATCTACCCTTATTTACAAATGTTATGCAGAACTCTGGCTTCAGTTTCTCAAGCATCATCTTAGTTAGGGTCTCTATTGAAAGCAACTCGGAGAGGGAAGGGTTTGTTTCACCTTACAGCTTATAAGGCCATTCAGAAAAGTCAGGGCAGGAAGTCAAGGCTGGAACCTGAAGGCAGTGACTGAAGCAGAAGAGATGGAAGAGAGCTGCTTACTGGCTTGCTCCCCATGGCTTTCTCAGCCTTCTTTCTTATGGGACTGACCCAAACTCACCATGCTACCAAGAAAATGGTGACATTTTTATCTCTAAAAGAGTTGAAGTCTATGATATGCCTCAACCACTGAGTTATCCTAGGACAGAGGTATGGAAAGTAACTAGAACACTCAGAAAGCATCTTAAAGTGGGCATCTGATGACTTGGATGCTAACCTGATGAACTTGACAGCCAAGCCCAGGTCTGCTATGCAGCAAGTCCCGTTTTTCTTCACCAGGATGTTCTTACTTTTCAAGTCTCGATGGGCGATGGCTGGTTTGCCTTGAGTACTGAAGATTTCCGTGTGTAAGTGGCATAGGCCACTGACGGAAGAGTAGGCTAACTTCAGCATGGACTTTGCATCTAGGGTGGTGGATTTCAGATAGTCATAAAGAGAACCATTTTCATGATAGTCTGTGATGAGGTATAACTGAGTCCAAGACCCAGTCCCTTTAATATCTGCAGCAATAAACCCTAAAAGGCAAAAAGTAAAAAGGATTAGATGTTTCCTGGACAGAATGAGCAATGCTTCATATGCTCAAATATTCTCTTTCTATATTCTTTGGTTTAACATCTTGTTCAGTTTTCTGACTATGCCTATGAGAGTGTTAAATTACTAATACCAAGCAGGGGTGATCAAAATCAGAGGGAGAAAGAAAAAAACAAGAGTTTGGATCTGAAGTCACTCTCTAATCAGTGGTACTGAATCCCTTTATGGTATTATAGTAACAAGCAAGGATTGTTATATAAAATGCTTGAGTCAGGTCTACTTCATTGACTTGACTGGGTCCTTTCCTACTCAAATGACCCAGGCAGATCACGTCTAGCCCAAGGAAAGGAAAAGAAAATCAATTCTGAACATAAACTCTTACTACAAATAAACTCTGCAAATAAAAATGCCTATAACTTTTCACAATATTTAAACCCAAATGTGGGCCTTCAAATTCATTAAAAAAAAAAAACTTAAGAAATTCTAGTATTTCATTTGTACTTCCTGTTTCTGAAGGAAAAAAAATATCACTGGTGAGTATTGCATTTCCAGCCCACCACCCATGCACAGAAGCACCACAGTCATGCTTCCCGGGACATCCTCTGTCAGAAGCTTATGGGCTCTGGACTCATGCCAAAAAGAGAGTCTGTAAGTTTCATAACAGGTCTAGACAGATGAGTTCATATGCAGATGTGGAGGGAAAACAGAAGAATGTGACAAAACCCCAACTATCGCTGTGTAGACTGTGACTCACCCAGAATGTTTTCATGCCTCATCAGGACCGTCTGATAGATCTCTGTCTCTCGGAACCAGCTGGCTTCCTCGGTGGTGAAGAACACTTTCACGGCTACCTTTTCTCCACGCCACTTTCCCATCCACACTTCCCCATAGCGACCTTTTCCAATTTGCTTCACCATCTGAATTTGCTTAGCTATTGTCCTTTGGACCTGGCAAAACCCAAAACGTGTTCTTAGTATATTTACAGCACTGCAGATATGTCTAAGCTTTTCTCCAGGGGGAGGGTGGGGGCAATGACTGCATGTAAAAATATGTAGTCAATATTATTCTTTATACACATGAGTTATTTGTATTTATTAATTTGTGCTGTTCTCTTTTAAGTGTATTTCAGATGGATGTTTGCCAATTTTAAATCATCAAATACTGCTACCAAATCAGTAATGTTCCATTCTACCTACTGCAATTTTCACAGAGAAAAAAAGACAAATGGTTTCACAGTAACTTATACCCAACAGAACAAAGTGTTCTACTGTTATAATAATTGAAGGAATTCTTGCCACCATATAACAAATCATGAATCTGTTAAATAAGACAAAAAAATATTGGATGCAAAAGGAAATTTATCAAAATTCCAAAAATGGAGAAGAGCAGAGGAATCCAAACAAACAACAAAATTAAAACAAAATGAGGGGATGAAGGGGGAAAGGAGAGCTCATAAGAAACAAAACAAAAAGAAAACGCCACTGTAAATGAGACTGAGCACTCCCAGCCTGGCAGGCTTGAACCCCTTTAGGTTACACAGTGGAATTTTTAGTTACAAAGTGCCAAGTAGCTGTAGAAAATGTTTAAGAAACTAAATGAAGACTAGGCAAGCAAGGTGAGATAGGCGAAAACTGTACATCTGAAGTGAAAGAGGCATTTGTTTCAGTGAAAAAAAAAATGCAGACCAGAGACACAAAATAGTAGTCCATACAGGAGAACTGGCAAAAGCAGATTAACATGCTGGAGAGAAGGCTCATTTAATACTCGATAAAACAGAGCTGAAGAATTACAAAATTCATAAAAACAAAGGGGGAAACATTGAGTGAAGCAGAATGGAAATTAAATGACTCCGTCTTCATGGTATTTACACCATCTGTACTTTATCAATGGTTTCCTGGCTGTAAGGAGTAACTATTTGAGGCAGGTTACATAATCTTGAAAATAGAATTAACAGCCAGGGCTGGGGGCACACACCCATAATCTCAGGACTCAGGAGGACAAGTGGGTAAACTGGGAGTTGACAGGCAGCATGATCTACAGAGGAAAATCTGTCTCAAATAAATAAACAAGGACACTAGCACATGATACTAGCAAAATCCCACCATAATAAATACAAAGCCCTCTTTGTAGTGATACATCAGGTAAAAGCTTAACGATTTCCTTTCTGTTTCTGTAATTTCTAAGATCATTCAATTGTGATAATCAATACATAATCTAGAATTCTCTCACTGCCTAGTCCATGGGCTAGCAGCCTAAATCTCTCCTGCATAACAGATTCTAAGAATTAGGATACGGATATTATTCTGCAGATTCCTTAAGTAGGATTCTTCTGTGGTTTCCATGATGGGTGATAATATCTACACAAGAGGTCCCGAGTTCATTCTTAAAACTGTTAGTGACACTGATAACAGAATGAAATCCTGTTACAAAAGGGTATTTTTTTTATAAAGTTGAAGTTTTAAAAATTAAAGAATTACTACTGGTCTAGGAAGCACAAAGTGAGGTGGAAATAAGCAAACAAGCAGATGTGTAAAGTAGCACTCCTCTCACAGAGTTAGGCATTCGGGATGAGACAACCTTTGGTATACTATATGTCCACTACTCCCGACAAGATGAGAGAAGCATCACGAGAGCACTAGGCAGCTGAGAGGCAGCTGCGAAGCACTTAGTTATCCACTTGGAGGGAAACCTACCCTAGTTACTAAAGCATATTCACTTTACAGATGCACAAGCATTGCTCTGTGAGTCTATGGAATCCTGCCTAACAAACAGCTCTGTTTCTTTTCTAGCAATGAGTGGTCTTCTCTAGTGAACACATTGGCAGCAGCGGCAATGTCAGGGGGACAAAAAAACGGACCTCCAAGACACTTAGCCATTAACTTAGACTTGGAAACAGAATTTTACTCACATTTTAGGATTATATCATCAAAGAACCTGAACATGTCTTTAAAATTTAAAAACTGATTTTCAGTCTTTGATTTTACCAATGTTTCTTCTCTTTCTGCACATAAATTTCCAATCTAAATCATATGCACAATTTTTTAAAAAGTTGAGTGTGCAGCTAAAATTTACAAGAATTTCCTATAATTTCTATCTGAAGGGTCATTCAAAGGTCTGTGTGCTCAATGTTTGGTCTCCAGCTTGGTTCAAGTATGAGCAAGTGGGAACATTAAGACATGGGGTCTATCTCGGAGGAGCTCTGTAGGTCACAGGGAATGTGCCCACAAAGAGAATTATAGGACTCTCAATTTCTAGTTTCACTTCCTTGCCATGAGATGAACAGTTCTGCTCTGCCAGGAACTTTCACCTCAGTGGGCATCCATAAA